GTGGGATGGATGGTGGTGGGACGGATGGTGGGACATACGGTAGAATGGATGTTGAGATGTATGGTGGGATGKATGGTGGGATGGATGGTGGGATGGATGGTGGGGCCGATGATGGGACGGATGTTGGGATGGATGGTGGGACGTATGGTGGGAGGGATGGTGGGAGGGATAGCAAGACAGATGTTGGGATGGGTGTTGGGATGGGCGGTGGATCAGACGGTGGGATGAATGGTGGGACAGATGGTGGGATGAGGGTTGGGATGGATGGTGGGATGAGTGGTGGGATGGATGTTGGGATGGATGGTGGGACGCGTGGTGGGACGCACGGTGGGACGGATGTTGAGACGTATGGTGGGATGGATGGTGGGATGACTGGTGAGATGGTGGGATGAGTGGTGGGATAGATGTTGGGATGGATGGTGGGACGCGTGGTGGGATGCATGGTGGGATGGGTGCTGGGATGGGTGCTGGGATGGCTGGACCAGCCGGACCGACGCGCGGCTGGAAGGACACCCACCGTCACCCAGCTGATCTGCGCGCCCAGGTCGCGGAAGTAGAAGGTGGCTGTGGTGCCCACGGGCAGGTTCTGCAGCACGTCCTCGTCCTTGAGCGACTTCCCCTCTGTGCGGGGACAGGACATGGGCGCGAGGTCCCGGGGGCACCCCGGGGTGCCCCCCGAGCTCCCCCCCGCCCCGGGGAGGGTGACACTCACTGGGGTCCAGGCGCAGCGACTGTCGGGCCGGGTACCACTGCGGGTCTGTGGGGAGAGCGGAGATGGTGGCGGCGGGGCCACCAGGGCCTCCGGGGGGGTCTCCACGACCTCCAAGGAGGGTCTCCAGGACCTCCACAGTTGGTCTCTACAACCTCCATGGTTGGTTTCCAGGACCTCCACAGAAGGTCTCCAGGACTTCCATGGTTGGTCTCCAGGAACTCCATGGTTGGTGTCCGGGACCTCTACAGAGCGTCTCCAGGACCTCCACGGAGGGTCTCCAGGACCTCTACACAGTGTCTCCAAAACCTCCATGGTTGGTCTCCAGGACCTCCACGGAGGGTCTCCAGAACCTCCACAGTGGGTCTCCAGGACCTTCATGGTTGGTCTCCAGGACCTCCATGGCTGGTCTCCAGGACATCCATGGTTGGTCTCCAGGACCTTCATGGCTGGTCTCCAGGACCCCCATGGTTGGTCTCCAGGACCTCCACAGTTGGTCTCCAGGACCCCCATGGTTGGTCTCCAGGACCTCCACGGTCGGTCTCTACAACCTCCATGGTTGGTCTCCATGAACTCTATGGAGAGTGTCCAAGACCTACATGGTTGGTCTCCAGGACCTCCACGGAGGGTCTCCAGGACCTCCATGGAGGGTCTCTGAGACCTCCATGCAGAGTCTCCAGGACCTCCATGAAGGGTCTCCAGCCCCAACAGGAACCCGTCGTGGTGCCACCACGGGGGCCACCAGGAAGGCTCCCTGGTGGTGACAGGGTCTCCCTGGTGGGGCTGTGCTGGGGATCCCCGAGCTCCCACAGCGAGGAGCTTCCGGGTCCTCCTGCCCCATGGAGGACCCGCGGCCATAACGGGATCCCCAGAAACCTATGGAGCACCCGTGGCCATGACAGGGTTCCCCACCAACCCACGATGAGGATGTTCTTGACCCCACAGAGAGYCCATGGTCATTACGGGGATTCTCATGACCCCATGGAGAGCCAATGGCCACGATGGGGTTCACCATGACCTCACGGAGGGCTCATGGTCATGACAAGGATCCCTATGACCTATGGAGGGGCCAAGGCCACCATGTGCATCCCTGTGACTCCATGGAGGTCCAAGGCCACCATGTGGACCCCTGTGATCCCATGGAGGGTCCAAGGCCACCATGTGGTGCCCCCTCAAGCCCATGGAGATGCTCCAGATACAATGGGGACCATCAAGACCCCATGGAGGGTCCAAGGCCACCATGTGGATCCCTGTGACACCATGGAGGTCCAAGGCCACCATGTGGATCCCTGTGACCCCCTGCAGGGCCTGTGGCCATGGTGAGGACCACCAAAACCCCATGGAGGGCCCAAGGCCACCATGTGGATCCCCATGACCTCATGGAGGGTCCAAGGCCAGCATACGGATCCCTGTGACCCCATGGAGGTCTTGTGTCCATGACAGGGATCACCAAGACCCCATGGAAAGTCCAAGGCCACCACGTTGATCCTTGTGACTCCCTGGAGGTCTTGTGGCCATGATGGGGATCCCCAAGACCCCATGGAAGGCCACCATGTGGAGCCCTGGGACCCCATGGAGGGCCCAAGGCCACCATGTGGAGCCCCCACAAGCCCATGGAGCTGCTCCAGCTACAACACCGTGATGTCATGGAGAGGCCAAGGCCACCATGTGGATCCCTGTGACCCCACGGAGGGCCCAAGGCCGCCATGTGGAGCCCATTCAAGCCCATGGAAGGTCCAAGGCCACCACGTGGAGCCCCCTCAAGCCCATGGAAGGTCCAAGGCCACCACG